GGGGGGGGGGGGGGAGAGAGAGAGAGAGAAGATAATCTACAGTCAATGAGATTAGGTCATCGATCAAAACATTAATGTATGTGACACATCAAAGGACTTACCTGATGGCTCAATAAGTCAATATATACTATTTAAATACCATTTCAAACCCTGTCAAGCAAAAGGATTCAAAGATATTTTGGAGAAATTAAGAGAAATCCATACCTAGTGTCTGCTGACATCCATAGACCTGGGGACAATATCGAGTGGACATTGAAGGAGTGTTGTGCTGTTGAATTATGGGTATCTCCATCAAACTCATGTAGACAGGAACATGATCTGAACCCTCCAATTTGACACTTCTTGTGTTTATATCTTTATGTCTATAATTAGAAAAATAAACAGCTGAAAATTTGATTAAAGCATGCATGCATGCTAAAACAAATGACATTCTTTCACAACTCAGCAGCCTCATTCCTTACCTAGGTGTATTACCAGGTTTCCAACGTTTGAATTGCCTCAGTATATCACTCTTTGACATGGCAAGTCACAAAATTATGTCCCTGATTTTCTTCTTCATGCAAGCATGGCCCAGCACTCAAAATGTGGTCAATTCGGGTCCCAAAGTTGAACTCCTCTGCACCAGAATTTGTAGGCCAACACGTGTACGCTTCTCTTCTATTACAAAATTGAAGGGAAAAATACAGATTGGTCAGCTAACACAGTGAAGAACTAAAAGTTACAGTTACCATACTAGATGCACCAGTGTAGTTGATAGTATACATGCAATTAGCTTTTTGGAAAGAATATACCCAGATATCTTTTTATATAGCATTAATATTTTGAAAATGATACAGAAATTTTCCTTGAATTAATAAAAAAAAAAAAGTCTTATTATTATAAATCAATTTCCACTAATGACAATTAAGAAAAAGAAAAGACAAAACAAATTCCGTTTATTTCAAAGTCACGCCATACTATTAGCAATAGTGAAGAAGATTCATACAGTAATAGTGGCAGAAATCAAGAAGCTTTAGAAACCTCTCAGGATGTTTTTCACGGAAAACATCAAAAAAGGAACCGCCACTTCTCACCAGCAAAGATCTAAACCAAGTCCTAAACCTGCAATGCCGAAACTCAGTTACAAATGTTTCCAGTTGCATATCCACTATATGACCTTGAATTTAAGAGGAGAATCAATCCTCATAAAGAAGACCAAAAAATAAAAAAACAGATCGTGCAGCAACTCACTCGTTCTTTTCAAAATCCGACCCAGCATCACAACGATCAATAGCAGAGGGAGCAATGTTCAGATCTCCAACAACAATTATCCTTCTTCCTTGACCTAGAAGGGACTCCCACCTTTTCTAAAGCAAAATTACTAACATTATTTGAGATGCATGATGCTCATCCAAGATCATTAGTAATTATAACGACAATTCTGGTATGACAAAACAAACCATTCTGGCAAGTGAAAAACAAAAATAGCCATGATCCTTTTGCAGAGTATAAATAGAATACGGTTGACAATATACAAGCAAAATGGTACATAGTGCTACAATACTTGTCTACAATTCGATTCCTCAGTTTATAGGTTGTAGATATCCACAAATAAGTTGAACTTTTTACTTACATAACCTCACTGTTGAAACCAATTTTATCACCCCATGTTTCAAAGGGAACTAGCGAACAGCAAATGGAGAACAAATAAAATTTCAGGACTGGCTAAACAGGATAAATTCTTGAAATGTTTCAGTACTTTGGCTTATAAGAGATTACCACATACAGCGGGCTAAATTTATCATTTACTAATTGTAAAACTAGCAAAGTGCATATATTATTTCATATAAGAAGCAGGGAACAAAATGAGCAATCTAGACTCTCATATTCCGCATTGTTCGAGCAAAACGGATAATCAACTACCTGCAGTACGTGAAAAAAAATGCGCTTGAACTGGATTCTTTCGGTGTCGTCACTATCAGCTCTAGGGCCATACACATTGAAAAGAACTGCACAAACGCTCATTCATGATACCCGTTAATATGATTTGTAAAATAATGCAAAAAAAAAATTATAAACTGTACACACAACTATATATATTTTATATTTATTTACTTTCTATGTAATGAATTTTTCAATATTATATAATAAAATTACTATCCTGTCATTAATAACACAAGCTAGAGAAAAGAATAAATCACAATTACGATTGTGAAACTTACTGTTTCTCATTTTCTTAGTTTTCACACATTCAGAAAATGTAAATTTTGTAAATTTCAAAATTTATTTGCACTTCTTATTATACTTGTATATACACTACTTTCAGCATTGACTAAGTTTGAAAAGACGAAAATTTTCATTAAACAAAATTATAACAAGTAAAAATGAAATAAACACAGTAGACATCTGACATCTAAAACATAACATTGATACTGTTACATATTACGAGACTAAAATTATGGGAAGGAGAGAGTGCATAGGATTTACAGGTACTACAGCCGACAAACCATTAAATATTTTATAAAAAAGTGACAAAAAGAATATCAAAGTTGTTCTAATAGTCCTAACTTTTATATCCAGGCCTTGATGAGATGGTACAGAAATCGACCCAACTCTTAACCAATAACTTTGAAATAAAGACAATTTAATTAAATAGATTAAGCATTGGATAGTCTAATCAACTTCAATCAGCAACTTCGTCTTTGATATATCAAATGTTAAGGAATATTTCCTTTTTAGCTTGCAAGAAATATTGTTTTCCTAAAAACCTATTACATATTTTCAGAGAAGTTAGCTTAATACTTATCATTATATGTTATCACCACTGGACCAAGATACTAACAAAGAACATGATCATAAGCATAACAAGTGAAGTCCCATTGTGGTTTCAAATGGCACTATTGGGATGCTGGCTTTTTTATACCAGAATTTCCCTATGTTCCATACAGACAACTCATGTTTCTAAAAATAACTGCTCGAAAGAGTAAGCCTTTCATTGGAAGCTTTGCCATGGAAGTACAAATTTATTGCTTTTCAGGCCACTCACCGAAATGTACATGGTCAGATATGATACATCGTCCTTCTCCATCAATTTTCTGAAGCTCATCAATTGAGAAATCTTCTAGACCCTCAATTATCAAAGGATTCTCACTTTTCCTAAGCCCTCTGGAAAGCTTGAGAACACCCGTGAAACCCTCCTCGGCAGAGATCGGCAGCGCTACTTCAACACTTGAAAATGCTGACATGACACGGCAAAATGTTGCCACGCCTACAGAACGAAAAGATAAAATGCAGTGAACTGTTAAAAGGCCAATTCATGATGTCAATTTAATTTTAACAAATAAAACAAAGATGCGAAATGCAAATTCCATAATCTTAAACACCCGTTTTGCTAATCAAGGTAGACCACATTTTATATTGGCAAGGAATTAAATTTGTAACCAAGCACATTCATTTTAGTAGCTTATATAGAATGATGAATAGGCTTCGCATTTGATAAACCAAAAACATCAAATACAAGAACATGTAATCTTAATATTCTCGTTGCAACCAACACACAGACCAATAGAGACCCATCATAATGTGCCTTTATTTTAACAAATCTCACATGCAGGCCTCTTTCTTGAGTGAATCTTCTGAAATGTGGAAGTGAAACGAGATATAGTCCATTAACATGATTCTGGAACCTTTGAGTGAAGTGAAAACACTAGGATATAGATACCTTTTAAATTTGGAAACTCGATAAATGACATTGGCCTATCTGTTGAAGATTTCATGATGACCCACATGGCAAATTTTGATTGGTCATCTTTCTACGAGTCTCTAATCTTCCATCTTAATCAATTCAAAAGTACACGTAGAAGATATTTATATGGGAAGTAATATGTATGTGCATGTATGGATAAATAATTAATCTTAAAGTAAGGAACCAATCATACTTATTCCCAAATGTCTTAGTCAATAAGCAAGCGGCTCTGTTGAGAATCGTTTTCCAGAATTAATCACTCTTTCAAGAGATCAGTGAGAATATCCTCCATCTCGTTTGTCATGCCCATTCACATAGTAATACTTTTATTATGTGATGGGCATTGTCAAGAATGGAATGCAATGAGAAAGATTATTTTACCCCACAATTATTCCACACCGAGGATTGGCAACAATTCCACACAGCAGAAGAAAAAGGGGAAAAAAAAATAGAAAATGAAAACATTTAACATAAAAATGGAAGCTTTACAATCATGATGAACGTAATAATCTTCACTTAACATATCATTCAGCATATACAAAGTAAAGCAGCTAAAACTGAAGAGGAAAAGGTAAACTAATCATTGACCAAAACAATTTTGGGTGAAGAATGAAAAATTGTAAATACAAAGAATAAAAGTGAGAAGCAATAGGTACCGGAATATCCTGTTCGGCCTTTATCAGTAGTGCGAGTGCAAGAGAAAAAGGACTCGTAGCCCTCCGCCTGCACCAAATCTGCTTTCATTTCTTGCCTCGACAGCTTCGTCTCCTGTGCATAAGAATTAACAAGAATAATCGAATTGAATCGTAATAGTAAAATGCAGATACAATGAAGTTTTTGTGTGGAAAAAGGTATACAGGAAAAAAAAAAAAAAAAAAAAAAAAAAAAAAAAAAAAAAAAACCTGAAAGCAGATTATGTCAGAATCAAGAGAATCAAGCAATTTGCGTAGAGACCCAAACTGTGCGACTCGAGGCCTCAGCCCGTTTATGTTGTATGTCACTATCTTCATTGTCAAACTGCTGTTTTCGTTTGTGGTTGGCTTTAGCTTCGAGTATTTTGCCTCTTCATTCTAAGTTTATCACTCAATACTGTCTGTCAATTCATTCATCGACACACAGTTCCAAGCACGCACTCAAAGATAAGATATAGGGAGATCTTCCAATTCCTGCCCAAATTTCACCACCGAAACCTTACGCGATTTGGGATTTTTTCTGATTTTGGGACTCGCGAGAATTTGGATTCAACCGAGGGGATGTTTTGGGAGCTCTTAAATGGAAATTCAAAAGATGAGAACAAAATCTCATCATTACACATAAATTTTGTGTATTTTATTTCAAAGAATTTATCGAATTTATTTATATAAATCAACACAAAATCCAAATTTAAAACGGGGACGCTAGTTAATTACCAACAACAATTAAATAAATACAAACAAGTATAATGAACCTACACATGCATAACTAACAGTTATATAACTCAAATCGACTTATTCAATAATTCTAAAACCATCCAGAGAGCTTAACATGAATCAACGGTTCATCCAAACATAATCATGGTGCTAAAAGCGTAAGCATAAATATTCCAAAATAACAACAAGTAGTTTAACAAGATAAATAACAGGCGGAAGCAAGAGACACTAAAAATGCAACAACGAAGGACCACCACTCGATCTTCTTCTCGTCGTGCCCGCACTTTCTTAACCAGCATCCGTGAAGAGCAGGTGGGGGTGAACACATATGGAATCCGTGGTGCTCACCACAATGCAATAAACAATAATTAAGATAAAACATTAATCACAAGATAAGACATGTATGGTCGTAGCATGTATACGAATCAATCAACTATCCCATCTCCTATCCCAGAGTTCATACTCGTGTGCACACCTATCTCAATAGACTACTGCCGACTATATATCGAAAGCCACGGCCCTCGGCCTTCTAGTCTTACAACGAGTGTCCAGCCAGTAGGAGTCTCCCTCGAAGGCCCGACCTTGCCATCGGACTTACATCGGGGTACTTATCGCTGACCGAGCACAGCCCTGGTCTCAAGTGACGTGTCCTTCGCAAGGACGTAAAGAGGAGATAACCCCAATGGGGTCGTTCTATAGTTACGGGGATAACCGTTCGACGGCCGATACAGCTCACATCGAAGGCTACATGGTTCGCTTACATACATTGATCACACCTTACGAAAGGCAATAATTTACTGCATAGCAATTTTAAATAAAACCCACCTGATTGCAGCGATAAATCACAAGTACGAGGCTCGAATAAGTGGTGACGTCAAGACCTCAAAACACCTACACGAAATCAAGATGGCCTCTCGATTACAATCCAATCCAACGAACACACAAACTTAGTCTAAGTGGCTCGTGGAAATTCTCGTGGAGTTATGGAATATTTGACTTGACTCGAAACCATGTATGGGAAAGGCACATAATATTCAATTAGGGGTTGACCAAGTCAAACAAAGGTCAAAGGAGTTAACTGGGGCCAACGGTTCGGAAAAGAGTCCGAAAACCGAGGTACTAAATCGGGTTATCTCCAACTCAACCTGGTGTTTGACTCCAAATAACGAACACATCTCAAACATCAATAGGGAGCAACATTCATGAAAGATCACATGAGAATTCATACTTAAGCAATATGAGCTAGCTTTTGCAAAATACGATAAGTAAATCACATTTTCGAGTTGACCAGGCAAAAGAACAAGTTTTGATCTTAAATTTTAACACATAATAGACATTACTGAGAATATAAAAACCACCAAGTTTCAGCCCTATCACCTAAACATGTTATTATATAAAATTAACATAAGATTTCAGCAAAAGCAAGTACGAATTTAATGACTGACCTAATGAATGATTTAAGACCTAATATTTTTAATTTTTATACAAATAACTTCAGCATGCTGGGAGCAACATATAAATATTCCAGGTATAAACACTGAACACATGAATTATGATAATTATTGCAAGTTTCAGCAGAATCCATAATTTAAATAAAACCTAACCTATTGAATTCAATAAATCCTGAGATTTTTACATCATCAAATAAAATATCGAATAAGCATATAAAACCAAGTTTCATGCATTTTCATCAAGGACCCAATTTTTCATGAATTTAACAATTTTCTGCAGAATTAATCAATTAAGCATTTGCCCTAGCAAATAGATTCCAAAAATCATAAAAATTTTACACAAGGTAAATAAACATCAGGGGAACAACATATCCAAATTTCAGAATTTTTGGACAACAATTCAATTTATCACGAATTATACAAATCACAGCAGCATCAATATGTTCAAAAATCCATAACTCACAATATATAATTCCAAATGACCCAAAGTCAAAACCATTATGACCAGGACATACAAATGTTTCATATTCCAAGAGTTTTCCATGAGCAAAGAATAGATCATAAAGGTTTCACCTTAAACCTTATAGATCTAATACAAGAAAATACATAAAATATCATAACTTAACATATTACTAACAATTACTATGTATTATCACACATTCAGCAAATATACTTATATATCACATAATAATAATTGAGTTTAGTGAAATGCCAAACACCAAAGGGAGAAAGCGAACAAGGCACGGTCACGGGACGCGGGCTCGGCTCCTGCGGGCGGGGAACTCGTCCGCTTGGCGTGCTCGACGTTGAAGGCTTCCGGCGAGCTTGGTGAATCTCCGGCGAAAATGAGAGAAGGGAGAGTGAGGGAGAGAGTTTGAAAGTGAGAGAAAGGGGGAGATATAGAGAGTGAAGAGAGATGATGTAGAGGGGAGGGGGTTTCCCTTTTTAATGCTAACAAACTTGTAACCTCCCCTCATAATCTTGGTAAAAGCATAATAAGTGGGATAAGAGGGTTACAAATCAATTCAAATTTTCAAACTACTTCTAGATAGTTGCATGCATGGGGCGGCTAAGGGAAAAATCGGGTTGGGTGCGGGCCAGAAATGGCGTGCGGGTTTGAGGCCCGGTTGCTAAGCGTGTGATCGATTATAAACTCCCGACTAACAACGATGCTCGGTTCGACAGATAATTAATATATAATTCGGCTTGATATTAAAATTTAATTAATAATACAGTTAGACAATTACGAGCACATAATCGAAATAAAATAATAATCGAGCCCGAATAATATAAAAATAGACAAAATAGAATAATTAATAATTCCAAAATAATTTGGAACAAATGGGGCGCTACAATACTACCCTCCTTAAAAGATTTCCGTCCTCAGAAATCCCACAAGAACAGTCAACTCACAAGAACACATACTCGGAGGAATCACAAACTCCGAAGTTCAGATACTACTCCCGTAACTCATCCTCGCTCTCCCGAGTCGCATCACCCTCACTGAAATAGCTCTCTTAGACTTTGACGGGTACCATAACCGGTTTCTCGACTGATGGGCCCTCCATCCCACCACGGCCACCGGTACCTTCTCATAGGTTAGGTTCTGTCCATAACACAACCCGTTAAAGTCTACTATGAGCCCCGGGAACCTGCACACAACCCCTCCACTCGAGGTGTACATACCTCCTCCACTCAAGGTGTACAACGTGTCGTGCATCCCAAAAAGCTCCGATAGTAAAGCCAACCGTTAGGCTAGGTCATTGACTCGATCGAGACTCCACAAGGGCTCACATCGCACGACGGCGATTCCATTCTATACCCCGAACTAAGGTGTCTCCACACCTCTAGTCATACAAAAGGAGAAACTCGAATGGTACCATCAAGATACTTGTTCGATACACAAAAACACAAAACGACCCACCCATGGTGAGAAATCGCAAAACGCAATACATAACATGCACACACGACCTTAACAGGTCTCATAGTGCCTTGACCGTGAGATCATCGGTCAAACAATCGTGGTCGACACGTGGAGCTGAGTTTCAGCATGGTGCCCTGGTCACGCCGAAAACTTACCCATAATCTCGACACACCCGTGACTTCTTGCCGAAGTGATTGTCACGGTAACTGTGCAACCATGCACGCAGTATAGCCCCGCTATACTCATACTTACAACACACGATTCTAAGACACAAACGTAGCCCCTCATGGCTCCGTTTGCTGGCAACACAAGTCCCTTATCTTTCCATCTCGAGAAATCCTCGCATAGGCATAGGAAACCTATCGACCATGCTTCCTTATCAAAACCATCAATCAAAGACGCAAACGCAGTTCGGTGGAACTTGGAACTCTCGGTGGTCAAATCGTTCACAAGAAAAATAAAATGGACGTTTGAATTATTAATGCACTGTCCTCCGAGAGGCGACACGCTCGCAGGCATTGCATATGCGGGGCGCCAGGACGCTCACGTGCACCTGTCCAGAGACCAGCCGCAAGGTCAAGGTTTGGCTGATCACGCTAGCCTGGGAGTTCCGTGTGACCGGTGATGGCAGCTGCATCTTGCGTGTGAGTCGATGATCGGCCGCTCGTCTATCAGCATGGGCGTACATACTCGACCACCACCTCGTGGCTACACCCAGTCAAGGTCGGTTTTTCGTTTAAGGTTTCAACAAGAAAATTCAATCCCAAAAACTTGGGATTTCACATAGGCCAAGGCAAAAGCAAGAGACGAGTTTTTCCACAAAAATGTGTACAAATGGGGTTCATTCCAAACGAGCTTTTTGGTTTTACATGAATTCAAAAGTTCAAGGTCTCAAATATATCAGGGCCTAAAATTGAGTTCCAAGTCCACTACTTTTATCCAACAATCACACTCTAACACATAAAAAGACCCAACGCTAGAGATAAACAAAAATTCTCAAGGAAATCTAACGCGGCTCTCCAGTTGAGAATGGTACTAGGTCAGCAGCTCTTTTCAAGACACTAACTAGTTAGCTCACTTCGGCTCTTCTGACTAACAGCGTCGGCTATCACGCCAGTTCTTCTTCCGATAGCTAATCGTGCCAGAAGTCCTGAACGAGCTCCACTCATCTGCACTGCCCAGAGTTCACACATCTAGGTCTAGGCAAGAGGCTTCTTTCATCGAAA